AATCTAAGTCGTGCACTCCTGTGGAAAGGAAATGCCAATGGATCTTGCCTTCTGCCAAGCTTTGTCAATGGCTCTCATAGCCTTGCACTCAAGTGCACCAAGAGCAAAATAAAGGTTAGCAGCTGAAATACACTGCAAACAAGTCGCACACTCGATCGTCCAATTTGATCCTTGAGGTTGGCCTTCTTGTCCAATCCAGAAGTACACTCCGAATCCATGGATTATAGTACCGGTTAAGGTCAACTGAGTTCCTCATTGGATACCGTCAAAGAGCTGGCAGCTGCACTTTAAACACAGAATCAAACTCTTACTGTTCAAGACATGTTACTTTTGGTCGCTTCAAAGATTGGCTTCTTGGGGCATCGCCGTCGGGGCCAAGCCGGCAAACTCATTTTCGTGTGGTCGTATGTGTCTTGAATCATCACCAATAGATCCTTTTGACACTTGGCCCTTTCTCTTGCGAGGTAGTACACAGACCTGTCGCGCCATGTGGCACTGTAATGCCCCAAAAGCCCATCTGATAGCTTCGCAGCTTCCTGGAAGTCCTGAAGGCAACATCCAGGAAAGGAATCCAATGTTCTAAATTTGAATCCTGTGCTGTGGTGAAAGCAAACGCTTAACCAATGGATGAACAAGTTTCAGTCGCATTCTGCAGGGCAGACCTGTATCGGCAGCATGTCATGCATTGTGCGTGATGGGTTTTTTGATGGAAGCGCATGCATTGCTTCCATCCTTTGATTTGTCGGAAAAACAATGACTTCGATGCTGGCTCTTGCCCGTTGGTCTTCATGTAAGCTTTGTAAAGCAAGAACATTTCACTCCATGTAGAGTGAGGCAGCTCTCGAACTGGCAACCTGGCTGGGTCGTGGTTGAAGCTGACTTGTTGGGAAGCTCCCATCAATCTGCTATCGATAAGGCGCTGTAGAAGCTCCTCTCTCAGAGGCTCATCAGCTTGATCGAGGGTTGCTTTGGTGGCAATCCTGAAAACATTTGAAAGCCAATCATGAATATGCAATGTAAACTTGGATGATACAATCCTTTTTAATGCAAGTTTAGCCAAGGCACTCCACTGTCATTGGCTCTCCAGCCGTCCAGTACATATGTACCATGAAGGCGTTGACAGATGCAGCCTTGATAGGTGGATGAGCTGTCTCTCCTGAGAGCTTTAATTCACAGGGGCAAGATTAATGGACGGACCCAAACATGTGTCTGTGTACACTGAAAATATTTCAAAAAAGAATCCTCGTAAAGACCTTCCATCCTTTCCATTCCACATTTTCTTGCATCTCTGAAGCCGTTGTCTGCCAATGCCCATCATATACAGCCATGCCACCTTACAGACATGTTGTCCTTCCAAGTTGTTATATAATTGAATGCTACTGATCTGATGTGCTGTTGTTTGTGCATTTACAATCAGTCCTGCAATGTACCACTCCTTCCGGTCTCCAGGTTGCGAATGCTGTATGTTCCATAGTACGGTGTCCTGTCCTGCCTTTGTCAACATCCAAAAGGCAACACAAACTTTGAGCACGATCTGGAATGGTGCAGTGCACTGACATTTGCATCGAGGCTGTTTCACAGCATGTTTGATCCTTGATTTGTCCATTCCTTGACGGTCATAGGCTGTTGCATCCTTGTTGACATTTGAAGACACTGCATGCATTGAGTGCAGAAGCTCGAGGCCAAGATCCACAGATCCCATCCCGCCCTGGCCATCCCCTGAACCATCATGAGAAGATCCAGATGAACTTGAACCATCACCAGAAGTCCTTGGCTATTCAAACATTTACTTACAGTACGTTCAATGTGCTTGAAGCTTTACAAACTTCAGGCCAAGTGTCTCTGATTCAGAATCTGAGTCTGAACTGGTGGGGTCATACCGCCAAAGATGTTGGCTCTGCTGGTCAGCATCAGCATCATAGCGTCCCAAAATGGGCATGGTGTCCAACAACTGTTCTTGAGTTTGTTGTACTGTATACAATTTCCCTTATCTGGAACACGTATTATCTAGACCCTCACTGAAGACAAGTCTTGTCATTGAAATGAAACTGTATTCTTTAGGCCAAAAACACAGCACAAAACGCTGGCACAGTTTTATGCAATTTGTCAATGTTTGCATTGCAGACTGCCAGCTCCAAATGGTTGGTTTTCCTCGAGAGAACTGCATCCTTCAAGGCTGAGACATTCTATCAGGCCTTGTGCAGGCAAGAACTGCACAAAGCAACGGGAGGATGCAGTGCATACTGATAGCGTTCCCGGCTAAGGAGTGCATCACCTAGGCATAGCACAGGTAGCAACAAAGGAACATGATGCAGAGAAGGTCAGACAAGGAGCATGATCTGGTGTTGATTTATGGATCAGTCGGTGGCAAGGCATCCCCATCAGCATCGCCGCCTCAAGGCCCGTCATGTACCGGTAGTTGCTCTCCTCCAGGATCAGAAACTTTCCACTTGGCCTCAGAACAAAGCATGCTAGCAAAGTGCAACTGAAACTGGACACAACAACAGGAAACTCTTGCAACTCTTGGGCAGTCAAGGATCGTAAGACATGGAAGGATGTCACTGCGGCCTTTGACTGAAAAAGGCATGTGGTCTATTGTCTGCGAGGTGTTGGCACAGGAGACATTGTGAACTGCTGTCAAGATGGATATGGCCTGCATTCAGCATCAGCCAAAATGTGAAATAGTAGAATAGGTGTCTTGGAACAGGCCTGCATCTCACGAGCTGTGGTTACATAGCGAGCAGCTTCTGCATATTTCTGCTTGAAGAAGTGAACGGCCTGTGGAATATCCACCTGCACTCCAACAACGACTCATCAACCTAAAAGCACAGGAAAAAAAGGCCTGATGAGTTTTTGCCCAGTCTTTATGCTTTTTGATCCATTTTGCATCTGTCTTGATTGGCCTGAGCATGTCAGCATCTCTCATGTTGCCAGCTGGAGACCCAAAAAATACAATACATCTGAATCTAATTAAGCTAAAGAGCTTCGTTGCATTCTGAAGTCGCAAGCCTTCTTTCTTCTTGCGATTAAGCCTCACCACTGGATGGTCCCGACTGAGGAGCAAGTCTTGCCTTGGGTGAGGAAAAGAACATCTGATGAGCTTGGAAGTGAACAACTGCAGCTGAAAGTCCATCTGGTAGCAACCGGTCGCATTTGTCCAGAGAGCCGCCTCAGCAAAGCACCTTTGAAGCTTTCGCAACCCAGATCTTGAAGCACGTCCATCCTCACAAGTGTAAGGAAGATTCGCCGTCTGGACATCGGACATCCAAACAAGGTCCTTAGCTCAATCAATCAAATCAACACACACGCAAGATTTAATCCCACAAAAAGGTTTGATGACACAATGTAAAAAGTTCAAGTTGCGGGCACAGAATGTTGACACTCATCTTGTACCTGAAGAATAAGTAGCTACCTTTTGCTGAAGGCATTGGCTTGACTGGATGCCAGTGCAGCTCAGAGGCCCTGGAACATTCGCCCGGATCAATGCCACCAAGTGCGGAAGGACCGGCTTAAATCCGAGCACATTCTCAAGCACCACCACCTGAGCACAGCACAAGATGCATACATAGACATGAGATGACATGAGAAACATCTCACACACAGCAATTGACAAGCCACTTTTGGTCGGTATCGCCGGATCCGGCGGATTGTTCTGACCATCTGGCGTGCATTCGGATCGGACAACATTTTCCGGCTTTGGCTCAACAGTGAGTATGGTTGGCACGGGAAGCCAACCACATATAAGCTGACCTAGGTTCCAGTGGAAATGAACTCAACTACACACTAAAGCCAACTGACCCATATTACCACCAAGCAGCATCATGGATTTGCCACTTCTTTGACTCGGAAATAAACATGTTGTCCACGAACCTTAGATGGCAAGCAGTAAGTTAATGCTCGGGGGCCACCCACCATCTTTAATTTGCATGAAAAGTAACTGGCCACATGATGGAAAGTTGGCTTGAAGGAATGCCATCTTCTGCGGATGACACTCAGAGGCACTCCTTAGTGACTTATCCCATGGTTAGGTCCAGGTCACCAGAACAAATTTGACTCATATTCGAAGCAAGTGACAAGAAGTTGACATTGTCAAGCTTTTGAGCGCTCCAGAATATGGTTTCAACTGCTTGGTAAGGAACGTCAGCACCACTGCCTGAAAGCAACCAATGTCCAAACATTAAAGGAAAAGCGACCTCAAATGTGTACCTACTGCAGCTCAGGAACAGTCTGAGGCATAGGTAAAGTCCCCGCGAAATTGAGAAAGCCAAGCAGTCAAACCTTATGGCTTCAAATTGCTACTCTAAACATTCCCAAGACTCCTCTTGACTATATAATGCAAAGTTACCAGAGCTCATGATGAATCCTGGAGCCATCTCCAGCCACTTGCATAGATGTTCATCAACTTCATCGTTGATTTCCTGCACCACATAATGTGGGATACACGTTTCAGCAAGAAATTAGTTCTTCCAGCTGCCTCCAAGTCATAGAGTGCAGAGCTGATCGAAGATGTGTCATCATCAGAAATATCCGACATGGCTGCACAGAACATCCCTCATGGTTCGATCTAAACAGCTGAAGTCAAAGTACCACTTTGATAGTAGAAAGGTCTCGGTTTGAATGAGACAGCCCTCATCCTATTTAAAGACTTTGGAGTCAGAGGTACTTCCGAAGTGTGTGTTCCCAAAATTATATGCTGCATTACTCATTGTTCCAAAGACGCCAATTACCTGGTTTTGCTTAAAGATGATTTTTTCCCTATGGTTCCATCCACTTCCGCTGAATCGTTTATATTCTTTCCAGGTGCCTTAAGCAAATCCAAGATCAAGTCTGAGCTCACCGAGCTAACCCCAAAGAGTCAGCTTGATCTCCTTTGTTGCATAGAAGTGATCACTTGGCCGTTATACCACGCCCAAAAGGCACCATTGGTGCTGACCATGGCCTGCGCGGTGGATGGAAAAGGCACAAGGCACAGCCCAACGGTGCACGGTGCGCAGCAGCAGGCGACTGGTTCTGCGGAGGCTGCAAGGCGCGCAGCTGTCGCGATCGATATTATTGCGCCTTGACCATTTGAGCCGAGCGGAGGGCTAGAAGATGCTAGGAAAGAAGCTTCAGAGCGTGAGCAAGTTGCAAGAGGAAGAAGATTCAGAGGGTGCACAGAAGATTGATATCAGATACGCTCACTTGGATACACCATCTTGGGTCTATATAATAATACATTTGGGAGTTGCACGATGCAACAGATGCATCAGCCACACTAGTCTATAGTTCCGTGGCCAGTGTGCAGATACCTTCAAGTCTGTTCCCGCCGGGTTTTCGCTAGTCAATCGTCCAGTGCTTGATGTTTTAATAGTCCTCAAAATCCATGTATGGAGTATTTGCCTATTGGGATGCTTTTAGGAGGGCTGGGTGGACAAAAAAAATATTGTACTATTCTTGAGAGGAAGACTTTGCGGATGCATTTTTGTGTTCCAAAATAATCCTAATCATGTTCACAAATGGTCCTAGACGGACTGCACTCGATGTGTTCCAAAATGATCCTAATCGTGTGTTCCAAAATGATTTGAGGATGTGTTAAGGGTCAATGAGTGGATCAATGATGGTCAATGTAAATACATTTCACATGGATTGGAGGATGGGTCGGCCTTAACAAGCCTGGCTTGCTCAATTGGCAGCGTCACTTGCTTGAATTTCTGGGCAGTTGGACCCCAAATCGCGGCTTCTCTTCGAGGCGTTCCAAGCAAAAAGCAGATAAAATTAGGAAGTCGGTTGATTCTTGTTCCTTTCGTGACACACCAAAATGTTCAGTTAAAACATCAAAAGGGACTCAACACAGACATGCCATCCTCTCATCCGAGGCTGGCGTTGCCAAAAGCCCATCACGGAGCAAGGCACCTTGAAGGCGTTGTAAAGGGATGTTGGGTGGATAGTGGAGCAGGGGGGTAGTCTAGCAAGTGCTAGACTTACTCAGTTACTAGATCTATACTATAGCCCGAAAGCCCATGTATCGAATCATTCGCGCAGTTTATCAAAAGAGATCCAACAACCACAGAAAAAGTAGGTACCAAGAAGATAACCGGGTTCTTACATGAAAAACCGGGTTTTCAAAAATCCACCAATCTTGCAAAAGACCTAAGAGCACAATCTACCATGCATGTTGGAACTGGCTGCTGCATGCGCACATTCTTTTCTTCGAAGAGGCATGAATACTGAACTTCAATCTCCAACTGCCACGCTTTCATTTGATGTAGCCAAGTGCCACCCAATGCTTAAAGGATGCCATCAGGCATCGCTGTAGTGTTCGCATTACAACTTGAATTGGTGACAACCCTGCTGGTTCTTGCCACCCTGCCGATCATGTCTTCATCAGCTTGAACCTCAAAAACAAGCAGGTTCATGACTCTTTTTGCTTTGGTCGCTTGCACATGAGGGAAAGTACATGATGCATTCACGAAAATGGGAACTTTTGAATACTCCTACCCTTGCATATATTAGTGGCACTTTGTTCCATGGGAGAAGGATCAATGAGAGTTACGTTAGTTACATAGTTTATTGATCATATGCTGCATATTACAGCAACTGAATTGGTACAAAGTGCCGGAAGTGGTGTCCTAGTCCACAGTGAAAGGGACGAGGGAACGGCACGGTGAAGGAGTCAGCGCACTTGGAATGTTTAACAATTGGTTCACTTGTCTGCAGAAAGCGGCGGTGGCTCAGCAGCAACTCTGGGAATAGCATGAAAACCACCATGAAAACAACAAAACCGCGGAGGGAGAACCATTGGAGTTGGTGTGTTTGTGCAGGTACGTTTACAGCCCTCACCGGTGGCCTCTTCGGTGGCCATCCACCACTGGTGAGAGGGATGGCCCCCTGCACATGAACAGCCCTTAGAAACAGGGTGTGACACACACACTTAGACGGTTGCTCCCAAGAGCTAGGATCAGTATGAAGTCCCACTGTAGACGA